GGAGACCGACACCTCATCCAGCAACTCTGGAAAACCGGCAGGAGTTGCCTCTTTCTCCTCGCTGTTTGGGGCACATTTTTCCCCTCGTAACGGGACCTAGAGGTCTCCTTGGCCATCTCGGGCCATGAGATGTCTAGCCTGGATGCAGCACGTTGGCACAAGGCCTGCAGGTCCACGCTGAGACATGGCGAAGCTGGTGTGCTGTCGCCTGGGGGAGCAGCCATCGCTCCCGGCATTGAAGCCCGAGCTGGTGGCATGAAGACGTCCTCTTCTTGCTCATCTGAGTTGGAGAGTAGGAACTCAGAGGAATCCTCTTCGTTCTCCACGCCTTCCGACTCCAGGATATCGTCCGCGAGTGTGGCCATGGTGAGGTCCAGCTGGGAGCCCCAGCTTGGCGTAGCCAGGGGTCCCAATCTCACGTCTCTCGCTGCTACCGAGTTCCAGCCTGACTCAGGGCGGGACTTTGACTTCGCAGCTGCCGCCGTAGATGAACCCCAGACCGACACAAAGGTTCGACTTTAGCGGTGGGTGCCCTCGTGTCCTGGTAGCCGTCCGGCGCGCCAGTGTACACGAGGGATCCCATGCTCGCCAGGTTAGCTTGGCTAGCTAGCCGACGGCGGAGGCTCTTTCGGGACAAGCCGGAGCAATGTCCGCACGAGCCGGGGTTATCGACAGCCTCCTGGGCGTGTTCCAGCCCGAGGCAGGACGAGCAGACCTGGTGTGTGTCTGTGTCCGAGATCTTGAACCCACAGCCACAGAGCCTTGCAACTGAGTTCCCGGCTCCTCTGGTGTGAGGGAGAGAGGCGTCCATCTTGCCTGCCGTGGTGACGGCGTGGAGAGGGCCCGCTCTCAGCAGGAAAGTTGCAGGGGAAAAAATCTAAGAACTCGTCCTTAGTCCGGAGAAAAGCGACGGCGTAGATTTATTTCCGAAAGGGGTATTAACTGGTGTGTTAATAGCCCTTAATTATTTTCTTATCTGGTATGAGAATAGAAGAAAACGTCCTCGCCGTCGTTAGCTAGCTAACATGTTGTGTTCTTGATGGTCTGTCTGTGTGAAACTTTAAAAGACTACAAGAGTAATAGGTCATATTTATTAATTAATGAAGAAAGTGGAAGATGTCCTAATTTAAGTTATATGACCTGATGTTCTTACCTGTGATAAGACTGGAAACCAGCAGGGGCAGCACCAGCATCTGAAGCATTCTCATCAGCAGCTCCCCAGGGAACGAGAAGAACTTCATCTCCCGGTACGACATCTTGTAAGGCCGCAGGCCAAATCCCATGATAGTGCCTGCAATGATAATAAGATGTGGAAGAAAAGTCCAAACCTGATCAGAATTTCAAGACCAGATAATCTAGTTGACACATGTTGTTTGATATAAGCATATTACAGCAAAATCAAGCATATTTATGAATGGGGGGGGGCTGAGGTTTGTATTGTAACACAAAACTGCCTTGCAGACTCATATTATAAAATAGAAAATACAGTGTAGTCTGCCTATGGTGCAGGAGAGTTGGGGCTCCGATGATCCAGGTTTAAGCATGAGTAGCATTGTTTCGAGGAATTGCATTTGCTTTGCTCGTTGTATATAACTTGATTAACTTTTTTTTTGTGTGATATTCTTCAGTCTCTGAAACCTTATATTCATCTATCAGTTATCCCCTGCAGCTCTATCCACCAACAGGGCCCAGGTGGTTGACCCGGCAGCCTGAAGTGAAGTTAACACTATCCTGAATGCAGCAATCAGGATGTGTGTTTGTCATGGCATGGTGTAATTCTAGCAGGGTTGCAGATGTGCAGGCGGTGGGTGGGCCTGGCTTACTTCCTACTGAGACCGACTGAAAAGGTTAATGGCAGCAGGTCAAGGGTCAGCTGCCGGGTCAGACTAAGGCCTGCCTGCTAGGTTCATCTGAGGTCCCTTTATTCTCTCATCCTCCACCGTTTGTTTCTATTCTTTTCCTTCTTCCGTCCTGCTACAGGGGAGTTGCTTACACCAGATAGACGTAATGATGAGACAGAAAATCTCCTGCCTTTTTCTGTAAGTGCTAACACATTCTTCTCCAATAATATTCAATCAATTAAATTACCATGTGGTGCCTGGACTAGTCTTACTAGACCAAGAAAAGGTTCTCACTTACCAATAATGACACCAGCGACAGTAAGGATAACAAAGGAATTTCTCATGAAGCATCCTCTCAAATCGTCCTTCGTGATGCTCTCCACTCTCTTCTTGGCCAGCAGGGATCGGGACTGGACCCCGGCCCGGATCTGCTGCAGCCCGCTCCGGGTCCTCTGTGGGTTCTCCCCATTGCTCTGAGTCATAGCTGCTGCTGGGTCTTCAGATGCGTTATTGACCTGCAGGAACTCAAGTTAACTGTAAGGAGGACGCCTTAAAGGTGCTGCTGAACCCCTGCTCTTTTTAACACGCGTCCTTTGGCTTAAGTATTGTTAAGTGTCCTAGTCGAAAGGGAAGACATATTGTCCTAGCGTTAAAAACATTGGTTGACCAAAAAAAAAACAATGATGAAAGGTAGAAAAGCACTTTGTCACACTCTTAGTTAAGTCAGATAATAATAGATTTAAAACACATTTTAAGTTGTGCTTTGTATTATTGATATGCTTAACTCAAAACGCAGCATATAGGAGTGATTACCGGTGCCTAATAATCATGAAACCCCCAAAATATGCATAAAAACATAAATGAAATGCATGCATGCATGTGTTTCATTCACAAATGTAAAGGCATGCACACTTCCTTATACGTACACTTGAGTCACTACAACACACGTGTTGTTATGCTGATAAGGATTCAAGGTCTCATACATGCAGATACACACAGTTACAACGGTCAAATGGTAAAATGCATTTGCAGGCACATTTAAAAATGGTAAAATACTAAAATAGAAGTAGTTTCTGTACCTTTAGACTTCAGCAATAAGTTCCTCTGGAGTAATGTTTTCTTTCAGAGGTAAAGTTCTGGTTTAAAACCCAGTGTGAGAGAGACAGAGGAGCTCTTTGGTTGGGAGCTGGTTGGTGTGAGCAACCAGCAATGAAGAGAAAGAGAAGTAAAAAGAGGAGAGGGGGGAGAAAAGAGAGGAGGGAGCAGCAGCGAGATGAGGGAATGAAAGGGCCAGTAAGAACGGAGGCGGTGCAGTAGAAGAAAAACTAGTCACTCACACAGTGTGGGCTTTTGGGGAGGTGAGGCGGGATCTAAGAAAGTGAGGTAATTTAGAGAAGGAGGGTGCTTTTCAGACAGAGGGGAGTTTGACGAATAATGAGCTTTCCAAGCAGGAAAAAGAGAAAGGACCTTCTTATTTCTTCTATCCCTCTCAGCCTTCCTTTCAAATGGTTTTTCACGCTTGAGAAATTCACCCTGATTGAAGATTCCTGTGGAGAGTGAGTCAACAGTGAAGTAAAAGTCCTCAATCAATCACAAAAAAAAATTGAAGTGGATTAGCCATTCATACATTTATTTTGGCACATCTCCAATTGACACAATCATTAATCAATCTGCCTTTTTTTTTCTAGATTTAAGTCCATTAGACATTTACATCAGACAAAGGTCACCTTTTTGTCCATGAAAAACAGTGGAGTTTTTAGTTAGGCGGAGCTAAACCGAACGGGTAAATGTTTACCAAGTTCCACTCACAACTCGTGCTCTGAAATCTTTTGCTATAAACAAACAATCTGTTCAAACAGTGATGAGTGTTTAGAATTTTGGAGGAATTTCGCAAACTGAATGCTTCTGGGACAGTAAGTTAAATGTGTGTCATTTAAACATAATAAATACTTTAGCACAGGAGACATTGGTCAAGAAAAACACTCCCACAGAGGATCAACCAAACACAAGCAGCTGACAACCGGGAGCAAAATTAAGGAATTTAGAGTTTGGCATGTGTGATGCAATGAATGCTGAGGGTGTGTATTTAAAAATATGTATGTTTTTCTTTTGCATTTGTGTATGGTTGGGTTTATGTGTCTGGGTAAAAAAGTGGGGGAGAGAGTAAGTTGGAGAGGTACAGCTGAAGACATCCTGTCTGACTCATTGCAAGGGAATTCATGTTTGGCATAGTTGTTGTGAAATGTTTCAACCGTCAGTCTACATTGGCATTGACACACACACACACACACACACACACACACACACACACACACACACACACACACACGCACGCACGCACCACACACACACACACACACACACACACACACACACACACACACACACACACACACACACACACACACACACACACACACACACACACACACACACACACACACACACCCTGCTACTTATGAGCTAAGATAAGTTATATAACCTCTGGAAGAATAATATCACCAAAGTATCCTTCCAGGGTTTGCTGTGTGGAGATCAGAGCTGTTTCAACACAGTTCCACTGTGTTTGAGTGATTCAAGGCACCGACTATTTCCATTCAGCAGTTATATATATATATTGTTTAAATGCACAGTTAATCACAATAATGCACAGTTATTGGTTTGGACTGATTCTTCCCTTTGTGTAGAGAAAGATAATTGTGTTTGCAAGAGATTTTGTTTAAAGGCATGGGACACTTTTTGTCTTTAGCTGCTTTCTAGTGCTATAGACCCATTGCCTCTGAGTTCCACTGCAATATCATTTCAGAAAATTACATTTAAATTAACCATTAGATTGACTTAAAGTAGAATCTGGTCTTAAATGTATTATTGTGTTGAAACAAACATGCGTGTGAAAACAAGCATGTGAGCATACACTGCTGACAAAGTGGTGTTTGCCATGTTGCTAATACTGTTAGACTGTAATGATTATTCATGATATAATGCAGCAACAAAGTAAAGCATCAAGTTGTCGGTGAAATCATCGTTCCTCCGAGATGCTTGGATAACCATCATTAGTTCTAACAAACAGGCAATTACTGTCTGAATTGCAAGTAGAGAATCTGTTCTGCTGCTCCATCGTCCCCTGGGCCCCGGAGACACTGAATAGCTTATTTAAACTCTGAGGAGCTTCCTGAGTCCCTGACTTATTATTAGTGCAGACCGGTCAGCATTGTCAGTGGCTCCAAGTCCCACTGCAGCACTGCTGTAACAGTATTTATATAAATATAGAGACACTCGTGACAAAAGGATGGACATCCATGATAAGCCAATATGGCAACTCACAATCAAAGTTGTATTTGATGAATATTACAGAGAATAAGATGCAAAATGTCACGCTACTCATATCAATATTCTTGCCTGAGTTTAAGATCCTGTTGGTTTGTCACAGGTGAGCGAGGTGGTATGTAGGAGTGAGGGGACAGGGATTGGTGGATTGTCAGGGTTTCAGTTTTGTTGTGTCTAGTTTTGAGGTTATTTTGCTGTTCTGTTCTCCCTAGTCATAGTTTTTCCTCCTTGTTTCTTGTTTCTTTTTCTCCGTTTAGTTTCCGTTGGTGTGTCTAATTGTCAGATTGTGTTCACCCGTTGCCCTTGTGTTTTTCCTCCCCTGCCCGGCTGTTTCTCGTCTCGTGATTACCCCTCCCTTTATTTAGTCTTGTCTCTTCCTGTGTTCGGTGTCAGATCATTGTTTCTTTTTCCCGTCACTCTCCATGTCAGTCATCGTCAGCTTTTTGTATTATATCTTCCTTGTGCTTCCTTTGTGTTTTTGCCATCAGCTTTTACAA